GTTGTGTGTGGATTGAAATATCCAGTTCTGTGGATTGTAATGTCCAGTTGTGTGTGGATTGAAATATCCAGTTCTGTGGATTGTAATGTGCAGTTGTGTGTGGATTGAAATATCCAGTTCTGTGGATTGTAATGTCCAGTTGTGTGTGGATTGAAATATCCAGTTCTGTGGATTGTAATGTGCAGTTGTGTGTGGATTGAAATATCCAGTTCTGTGGATTGTAATGTCCAGCTGTGGGTGCAGCACAATGTGCCAGTCAGCGCGGACTGAGATGTTCTGTTGTGTGGTGTGAGATGAGGTGGTCAGTGTGGCCTCAAATGTCCAATCGTGTTTTACGTGAGCTGAAGTGGTCATTGTGACGCAAGATGACCAGTTCCGTGAGTCGCCAGATAACCAGTTCCGTGAGTCGCCAGATGACCAGTTCCGTGAGTCGCCAGATGACCAGTTCCGTGAGTCGCCAGATGACCAGTTCCGTGAGTCGCCAGATGACGACCAGTTCCGTGAGTCGCCAGATGACCAGTCGCGAGTGGCGTGAGCTGAATCGGTCAGTAGTCGCTGGGACACTCCTCCGGGTGGAAGTATCCGAAGACGTTGAGCTCATACATGGAGGCCAGGATGGAGTAGGAAATGTAAACCGACATGAACAACACGCTGATCCGCTTGTCCAGCGTCCACTTGTTCAGGTGGATGGCGAGCAGGAGGAAGCCCACGGTGGACAGGAGAGTGCAGGAGGAGTAGACCAGACCTGGGGAGGACAGGAGAGTACAGAAGGAGTAGATCAGACCTGGGGGAGGACAGGAGAGTACAGAAGGAGTAGATCAGACCTGGGGGAGGACAGGAGAGTACAGAAGAGTAGAGGAGAGTAGAGGAGAGTACAGGAGAGTAGAGGAGGAGTAGACCAGACCTGGGGGGAGGACAGGAGAGTAGAGGAGAGTACAGGAGAGTAGAGGAGGAGTAGATCAGACCTGGGGGAGGACAGGAGAGTAGAGGAGAGTACAGGAGAGTAGAGGAGGAGTAGATCAGACCTGGGGGAGGACAGGAGAGTAGAGGAGAGTACAGGAGAGTAGAGGAGGA